CATTTATAATCAAGCCCGCGCTCGAGAGGGAGTCTCGTTTTCAGAGGAATTGCAGGATATGAACAATAATTACTCTAGAAGTGACTAGTCAACGATGACGACGACGTCGACGACAACTACAACGACGACGACCACGACGACGGCGACGACGAACAACGACGCACGCACTGCGGATACTCCATGGGTGAGAAGGGGTGCTGCGTCGGCCGACTGTATGTAGTCGTCGTCGTCGTGTCGCCCTCGACGACGACGACGAACGACGCACTGCGGATGCCCCAGAGAGGGGGGTGCTGCGTAGGCCCGTGTAGTGGTCGACGACGACGACGTCGTCGAGACGACGGCGACGACGACGACGACGACGAAAACGACGATGGCGGCGGCGGCGGCAGCGACGGCGACGGCGACAGCGACAGCGGCGAAGGCGACGGCGACAGCGGCGAAGGCGACGGCGACAGCGACGGCGACGACGACGGGGAGTGCGACGGCGACGACGGACGACGGCGACGCACTGCGGATTCCCCGGAGGGGTGTGTGGGGGTGCTGCGCAGGCCCGCTGTAGTCGACGACGACGACGAACACCACGACGACGACGACGACGACGACGACGACGACGACGACGACGACGATCACGACGACGACCACGACGACTGTGGCACGTCATAAGTCAGCACGAGGGGAAACTTCGCCTCGGATGCACACGATCCCTACTGCAACTCCTATGCGAAATGCCACCGATTTGAGGCTGCCGCGCAGGGGGGCGCACGAGCCCCTCGGCGGCGCCTGCGATGACCCGCTGGCGCGCGCGATTGAAAAACTAGTTTCGCGCTCCGCAGGGTCTACCATCAGCCTCGGGAAGGAGGGCATCATTTGTTAACCACAAGCTGGCATTACAGATCAGTCCCTGTTCCAAACGATGTTCTAAACTGCCACATTGCGCAGCACCCGCTACAGCTGCTTGGCATGATAGTGCTGTTTGTCCTTGCTGGGCCTTGGCAGTTGAAATCACATCATGTCCTCTACCCGTTTTCTCCACCCTTATTTTTCCCTTCTTCCGGATCTCCCTTTCCCTCTCGTCTATCCCGTCCCCTCGCGTCCCACCTCACCCCCCTGTCTTCACAATAAACTCCTGCCTTGACGTACCCTAGACGACGCCAGCTGTCGTTTCTGACAACCCCGTGAATCGTTCGACCTGAGTGATCTTCCTTCCCGGAGGCCCCCACAAGCTTGTGACCCATCTTTCACGTTTTCTTATTCGGCGTTTCGACATTGGGCGGAAGGGTGAGAGGGAGGGGTGGGTCTGGCTTCGGACCTCTGCTTAGTGCGACTGCTTGCAACAGTGCGCCCTTATGGGGGGAGACTCCACCTGCTCGAAACAGGCGCCAAAAACAGCCAAGACCTATCCGAGGGCCCGCGCCGATCGGCACAACAACGAGGAAGGAAACGATCACATGGATTTGCGCCGTGGGCCGTTCTCTGTTGGGCCCGGTGCCAGAACCGCCCCCCCCCCCCCCGGAGGGCGCCCAGCCCTCAACGCCCGCCGCCCCGCCGCGCCGAGGCCGCGCGAAGCTGCAGGAAGTCCCCGTGGCCACCGGAAGTCCCCACGGAGTCTCCGGAGGTGTCCAGAGAGCGCCCGAAGGCCCCTCGAAGGCATGCCCTCCCGTCCGCGGGCCCCGAGAGTATACACCACCACCTCCACTCCTCCTCCCTCCTTTGCCTCTCCTCTTCCTCTCCTCTCCACCTGGAGAGGGAGGGGGTGGCGGGAGGTGGTGGTGGTGGTGGTGGCGTATATTTCTGAGCCCCGTGCCGTCGGAGGCCGCCTGAACACCCTTCGAAGGCCGTCCGAGCGCCCGCCCTTCCCCCCCTCGAGGAGGAGGAGGAGGAGCAGGAGGAGGAGGAGGAGGAGGAGGAGGAGGAGGAGGAGGAGGAGGACAAAGAGGAGGAGGAGGAGGAGGAGGAGGACAGGAGGAGAAGGAGGAGGAGGAGGAGGAGGAGGAGGAGGAGGAGGCGAGAGAGGAGGAGGAGGAGGCGGAGGAGGAGGAGGAGGAGAGGAGGCGGGGAGCAGGAGGAGAAGGCGGAAGGAGGAGGAGGAGGAGGGGCGGAGGAGGAGGAGAAGGCGGGGGAAGAGGAGAGAGGAGGAGGAGGAGAGGGAGGAGGAGGAGGAGGAGGAGAGGAGGAGGAGGAGGAGGAGGAGGAGGAGGAGGAGGCGGAGGAGGCCTCGGGGACGTCCTCGCGGAGGGGCGCGCGGCCGCGTGCGGGGAGGACCCTCTGCCGCTGCACCGCCCGGCCACGAAGGCTCGCAGGCCACCGGCCTCGAGGGCAGGGCGGCCGCCGAGCACGGCGCTTTTGAGACTTTGAGATCCTCCTCCTCCTCCTCCTCCTTCCTCCTCCTCCAACTCCTCCTGCTCCTCCTTCTCTCCTCTCCCCCTCCCTCCTCCTCCTCATCCTCCTCCTCCTCCTCCTCCTTCCTCCTCCTCCTCCTCCTCCTCCTCCTCCTCCTTTCCTTTTCCTTATACATAACTTCTCCCTGTCGCACCCCGAGGGCAGTTTTTAGGGCGGTCCAGGCGTTTCGCCTGAGACTTCCTCACCATGTATGACCCTGACGCTTAAACATTGGCAACAGCTTCACGGATTGAGGGCGGGTGCTTTTCAAAATGTGGCTCTCGTCTTAGCGCCGCGCACATCCGTTTTTTCTAAATTGCAAGAAATTCAAGGATTCCCATGATCAGCGTACCAGACATGGTGTTTTGGAAGGGTTCAAGATTATGAGGGCGCAACAGTTACGTTGATTCGCGGTGTTGAAATCCCACGAATGGCGTTCTGGCACGACCCTGGATCGTCAAGACGCAATGGTCAGGTTGATCCGTGGCGTTGGAATCCCGAGAAAGATGTTTTGGCATGCATCAGGGTCTTCAAACGGTTGCCTTCCAACTCCTCCTCCTCCTCCTCCTCCTCCTCCTCCTCCTCCTCCTCCTCCTCCTCCTCCTCCTCCTCCCAGCCACGGGAGCCACGGCACGGCCCGCTCTGCGAGGAGCAGAGAGAGGCAGAGCGCAGCAGAGGTGGGAGGCCTGCCTCTGCCGACCCGCAGCCTCCCCCAGCCTCCCACGAGTTCGGCTCGCCCCCCCCCCCCCCCGGTTCCCTCCACCCTGGAAAATGTCCGAAGTCCTGGAGGTCGCCCGAGGGACCCTCCGAAGAGCCCTCCGAAGGGCAGGCCTTCCGGAGAGGGCTGCCCGACAGGATGAGAAGCTCTCCGAAAAGCCTTCCGAAGGGCCCTCCGACAGGGCCCTCCGAAGGCCGCCGCGCCCCCCCCCGCGGGGGGCGGGCCGCCTCCTCGCCCACGCTGCGCAGGGCCTGGGCGTCGCGGACCACGGACTGGAGCGAGCTGCGCGGGCGCGGGGCGCGGCGCCGGGCGGGCGAGGAGGAAGGCGGAGGAGGAGGGCGGCGGCGGCGGCGGCGGCGGCGGCGGCGGCGGAGGAGGAGGAGGAGGAGGAGGAGGAGGAGGAGGAGGCGGAAGAGGAGGAGGAGGAGGAGGAGGAGGGGAGGACGAGGAGGAGGAGGAGGAGGAGGGGGAGGAGGAGGAGGAAGAGGAGGGGGAGGAGGAGGAGGGAGGAGGAGGAGGAGGAAGGAGGAGGAGGGGGAGGAGGAGGAGGAGGAGGAGGAGGAGGAGGAGGAGGAGGAGGAGGAGGAGGAGGAGGAAGAGCAGTCACCGTGTGGTACCAGAAGGACTTCTTTTCTCAGACCGGCAGCAGACATCCTCCTCCTCCTCTCCTCCTCCTCATCCTCCTCTCCTCCTCCTCCTCCTCCTCCTCCTCCCACCTGCGGTAGCGGTGGTGGGGAATCGGCCCATCACTTCCCGTCCCGAGTTCCCTCCTCATGCGTCCCTGCAGGTGCAATGCGATTTTACGCACCCCGCCTGCACGACGAGAGCGCCCGGTGGGCCTGCTGCTACCTGAGGCGAGGAGGCCCCCAAACGGCACAAGAAAGCCGCAAGACGGCCCAAGATGGCGCCGAGACGGCCTCAGAAAGCTCCCACAGAACCCCACGACGCGCCCAGACAGCCCAAGAAGACTCCAGAAGCCCATAAGAGGACCCAAGGGGCCCCCAAGAAGCCCCCAACAGGCCCAAAAACAACCCCGCGCGGCGCCAGGAGCAACGTCTTCCTCCAATTGCCTCTTACTGTCCTCTGTCGTCGTCGTCGTCGTCGTCGTCGTCGTCGTCGTCGTCGTCGTCGTCGTCATCGCCCTCCGCATTCTTCCTCGTACTCGCCCTCGTTCTCTTCGTCCTCGTCATTGTGCTTCTCTTCCTCCTCGTTGTCCTCATGCTCCTCCTCCCTATCCTCACGTTCGCCACGTCGTCCTCATCATCGACTCCTCGTTGCCCTCGCCTTCATTTTCTTCTTCGCCCAATACGCCTACTAGACTACAGCGGCGCTTCCCGTTCTTGTCCGATCAGGTTTGCCGCGGGCAGCTGGATACTCCGAAACACCCCTTCTTGAGTTCTGGCGGCCCCTCAGGATCACAGTGCCTGCTCTCCAGAGAAGACCGATCCTCCTCAGACGCGCCCCACCAATTCGAACCCAGGGCCGCTGAACAAAAGAGGGTGCAAATGGCTTGAGCTTAGACACACACGCACTCGAAGGGGTACATGCATGACTGGATGAAAGAGACACTAGCTAGTGAGAGTAGATGGAAAACATGCGTATGCAATCGGTACTGCATGACATCGAAAAACTCCCAAACATTCCTTCACCTGAACAATTGAATACTGCCGCCTCCGATCCAGGAATAATTGCATTTCATCGACGGACGTCCACGATACGTCCGTCAAAACATAAAGCCCAAATAGTTTGCCTGTCCAAACACTAGGATCGGAATGCTGGGTGCGGGCCGAGGTTAGCGACTACTGTCATCGTCCAAGCACCCTACTTACCATGCACGGCATGTGCGACGCCTCTGAAGCCAGGAGCGTAGATGGCATATGCACGCTTTTCGATCTCCAGTTCACTATCCTGAACAATTCCAGGCCATGGCCGCTTCCGTCCGCATCTGAACCGCCATCCCTGCGCTCGCAGAGCAGAGGAAGCAGAAGAAGCAGACTGCGACGGCGCAGACCGACTCTGCTCTCGCGTTGCCCCGCGCCCCCCCCTGATGGGCAACGCTTGGGGTGGCACTGTCTCAGGGGGGGGCAACACGGACCTGGCCTCGGCGTTGCATCGCCGATCATGAAGGGACCCCAGGACTCACAAATAAATACACACACGTAAACATATTCCCCATATTTTCACATATTTATATATATATATAGGGTTTTCGTCTTCCCCCCACTTCCCATATTTCCCCATATTTTCTGGGGAGTCGACGATTAATTGTGTCTGTGTGTTTCTTCCCCTCCTGAGATAGCTCGGCGGCAGCGAATCGAATCCGCTTGGTCCTGGGCGGGGTGGGCCGTCGGGCCCTTCTCGGCGCTTGGGAGCCGATGCGCCCCCCTGAGAGCTCATCCCCGCCCGACGTCGCCCCGTGGCATTCGGGCCCGTTAACGCCTTTCGGGTCGGGCGAAAGGCGGGGATAGCAAAGATCGGGGAGACGTAAGACCCGGGTACGGGGGACTCGGAAATCCCCGACGAGGTCGTCAAAAAAATGACGAGGCCGAGCCTGCATTTTGACGAGGCCTTCCGCTGCAGACATCCCACGAAACTCCTCCTCGTCAAAATCCGAGTCGCGGTCGTCAAAAAACGATGGCGAACCCGAGTCCCGGCAAACCCGGGTCTTACGCTCCCCCGAAAAGAGGGGGCTTGAGAATCAGCTCACGCAACCGATTTTCCTGGCGCCTCCCGGCGCCGGAGGCGGCCATGTATCGAGGAACGGGCCCCTCGGCGAGGCCGAAACCAGCTGCACGCAGCAGATTTCGCACCGCCCCTTGCCCAATCCTCCCCTTTCGTCCGGCCCGAACGCCTTGCCTCGGCTCTCGGGCGGCCGCTCCTGACGACCCAGGCACCCCTGGAAGTGCCCGCGGCGAGGCGCAGCGGCTGGACGGCATCCCGAGGCGGAAGGCTGCGGAGAACCCGCCCGAAATGAAGGGGCCCACAAACACACAAATAAATTCACACAAATAAAAGGAATCCCCATATTTTCCCATATTTTCCGGGTTTCTGTCTTCCCCCCCACTTCCCAGATTTTCCCATATTTTCTGGGGGATCGACGATTAATTGTGTCTGTGTGTTTTTTCCCTCCTGAGTTCATGACGACCCGGGCACCCCTGGAAACGCCCGCGGCGAGGCGCCGCGGCTGGACGGCCTCCCGAGGCGGAAGACCGCGGAGAGCCCGCCCGAGAGCCTCGAACGTCGAACCTCCCCTCCTCCTCCTTCTCCTCCTCCTCCTCCTCCTCCTCCTCCTCCTCCTCCTCCTCCTCCTCCTCCTCCTCCTCCTCCTCCTCCTCCCCGTCGGATGCAGACCGAAGTGCGGCCGGCGACGGCGGCCGCCGCCCCTCCGTGGCGCGGTCACTGCATCCGCCGCCGCTTGGGCGCCGGCGCCTCCGCGGCCGCTGCGGCGTCCGGGAGCTTGCAGACGAGGACGTCCACGGGCGGGGTGCTGCCAGAAGTGCTCCCCTGGCCCAAAAAGTGCCCCCCGCCCTGCGCGCAATGTTGGGGGCCCTGGAGGCCACCAGGCCTCGTGAGGGGTGCTCTGGAGGCCGTGGGGCCTCCCTGAGGAGGAGGATGGAAGGAGGAGGAGGAGGAGGATGGAAGGAGGAGGAGGAGGAGGAGGAGGAGGAGGAGGAGGAGGAGGAGGAGGAGGAGGAGGAGGAGGAGGAGGAGGAGGAGGATGGGAGTCCTGGGGGCACCTTGGGCCAAGGGCACCTCTGGCAGCATCCGGACGGACGGGGCGGAGGCCGCGAACTCCGCCAGCGCCTGCTCGTAGTCCGCCCAGCTGCCCCCGGCGAGGCCGCAGCCGATGAGGTGCGGGAAGGCCACCGACTGGACGCGAGGGGGCAACGTTTCGGGGGCTGGGCGGCCCAGGGCCGACCCCCTCGCGTGCGGCGCGGTCGAGCTCCGACCACCTCGCGTGCTGCGTGGTCGAGCCCCGCCGAGATGCCGACGAGTCTCGAGGTGGCCTCTGCGCTTTTCCCCTCGTGGGTGGGCCCGCCCAGCGCGGGCAGTCTGAGCCCCGAACAGCGAGCTGGAATCGACGATGCGTCGCCGACAGCTCGGCGACGGGGCCCCGATGGCGAGTCCGCGCGTTCCTCGGCGGGGTGGGCGAGTAATCAGCTGTGTGTCGGCGGTGCACGGCCGATTGGGAGGCGATGCAGTTCCCACTGGCCTTCGGGTCACTCCTCGGCTCTCCGGCGGCTGCTCGGCACGATCTGGCAGCTGCTGAAAGGCATATCCCGAGGGCGGAAAGCCGCGAAGAACCACCTTTAGTCGCCCGAGCACGTCGCAAGATCGAAACCTGGAGCCCCTCAGAGCCTAGCCCTTCTGTGGCAACTCATGGGAGCCTCAACTTGCTGGGTCTTGCGAATCGACGCTAATCGACGGTCATCGACGTTTAATCGACGCGAATCGACGCTAGTCGACGCTAAATCGGCGCTATCGCATCGATTACCAAACGCTAATCGACGCCAGTGCACTCTGTAGATGAAAATTACGAGGGTACACGAGTCTCCCATATTTTGCTACCGAATATCGGAGACGCGCAAACATGGATTAGCGATCCACTGATTTGGCGCGCGGTCGCCAAATCCATGGATCGGGGGAGGTGCCCTCCCCACAATGCTGCTGGGTGCCGCCTCGCTCGGCGGCGGAAACCCGCGATTTCCCACGGAAACGGGACCCGTCGCTGACCCACGCCCCCTTGGATCCATGTCTGCGATCTCCCGAGAAGATCCTCCCTAACGTTGCCCCTGAGGATGCCCTCAATTCTGGAGATTGCCCGCAAGCACTGGCGAAACCACTCGAGCCGCCGCAGGGCCGAGTCGCTCCCCCGCGGGCGCCCGGGGCCGTCCTGGGCGTTGCAGTTGATGACGCCGGGCCCCGCGGCCGTCGGGGGGAATACGTCCAGCGTGCCCACCTCACGGAGGGCAAACACACAGATGTCTTCAGACGTTGCTGCCTTCCTTTTTTTTTCCAGGCTCGAGTCGCACTCGTGAACTGCGCCTCCCAGCAGCTCCACGAGCTGAAGTTACAGCCGCTTGAAGGCTAGCCGTAGCACTGATCTCAGCCAGACGTTGCTGCCTTCCTGATGCCTTTGCTGTAGCATTATTTCCACCAGCTAGAGGCCTCCCAGGCGGGGTCCGAGTAGATTGGGTTGGAGGATCGCGCCGCATCGGCGCCGCATCGGCGATGCATCGGCGATGCATCGTCGACATCAGCGATGCGTCCACGACGTCGGCGTGGAGAAAATCGGAGCCCGTATCGAGCCCCAGCGGCGATGCATCGGCGCTGCGGCGCGATCCTCCGACCCCATCTATCACTGCACCGAGCTTGCAGACGTGCTCCAGCGGAGTTTGCGTGGATTTCTGTCAATGCCAACCCCCCGAAAAAGCAGGCGAAAACGAAGTGAATTTCACGTGGACGTTTTTAAGTCTTCTGTCCTGGCCAACAGATTCCGCACGAGATTCACTTCGAAATCCGGGACGAAATTCTCCAGGACACTCCGGGCCCATCCCATTGTTTTCCGAACGAAATCCGCTCTACGATGTTGGCGCCATGACATCTACTCCGACCCCTTTTGGGAGGCCTAAGATTAACGGCCGCTACCCGGGGGTTCAGGGCGGGACCCCCGGGTGACTGTATAACGCTTGGGCCAGGTGGGGCACGCCGGGGCGGGCGGGCGCTGTAGTTGCCACACGGCATGCGCGCGAACACCAGCACGTGGGGGGGGGGTCCAGACCACCCCCGGCGTGCCAATGTGCCGCTGCTCCTTGGCGGCACGCATGAGGGGGTAGTGGGAGGGGGAAGGCCTCCTAGAGGGAGGCTGCCTCTTAGAAGACGCTGGCCTTGCATCTGCATCTGTAGGCAGGGCCCGCGCCTTCTAAGAAGTAGGGTGATGCGAAGAAGCCTTCTCCCCTCCCCCTGCCTCCTCCCTGTGCACGTGGCCGAACTGCCCCAACCTCTCCATGGGTAGGGGGCCACATGCGAACCCGACCCCTGCCCCCACGATTTCTGAGGGGGGCAGGGGTAGGGTTCGCATGTGGCCCCCTATAAGAAGCCTTCCCCCCTCCCCCTGCCTCCTCCCTGTGCACGTGGCCGAACTGCCCCAACCTCTCCACGGGTGCGCCCAGGCCAGAGCTCCGGGGAGCATCTGGCCGTGGCGGCGAGGGCTCTCCCCGGCGCGAGCGGCGCCCTCGCCACCACAGGAGGGGGCAGGCTCCCCCGGACGAAGCGACCTCCAGCAGAAGCCGTTGCCTTCCAAACGTCTGCCTCGGGTGGGATTTCTGCGCCCAGCGGGCCCGCCTCTCGCGGCCTCCCCGCCGCGTAGGTGTCCGCGCGCGGGTGCCGCGCGAAGACGGCGGCCGCCAAGCCCTTGGCGTGGCGGGTCCTGGAGGAGTGCGCCAGCTGCCCAGAGCTCCAGCCTCTTGCTCCTCTTGCTCCTCTTGCTCCTCTTGCTCCTCCTCCTCCTCCTCCTCCTCCTCCTCCTCCTCCTCCTCCCTCTTCCCTCCTCCCTCCTCCCTCCTCCCTCCTCCCTCCGCCCTCCTCCTCCTCAAGCCTCATCCAGTGTCTCGAACAACTCCACGCGGACTCGCTTCGCAACTTCCGGCCTCTCGTGGGGGGGGCCCTCTCGCTGGGCCCACGGAACCGTCGCAAAACGACTCGGGGTGGAGGGTTGGCCCTGGGGGGAGCCGCATGGGGAAACCCAGGGCAGTGGAGGTCGGGCTGCGGTCGGGAGCTTCTGCTTGGCGTGCCGCGCCGCCCATCCTCGGAGGAAGGGGGACCGATACGGGTGCCCTTCCCCCGCTGGGGCCTCTTCGGGACTCCTTGGAGGTCCTCATGGCCACCGCTGGGTTCGCCCCGAAATCCTGGCCAGAGCGCACCCCAGGAGAGGTCCAGGGAGCAGCGGTATCTGCAGTGCGGGTGCGGTCGCAAGAAACCCTCGCAACAAAAATCCAACCCTGACAACCCGCACGCGAGGTGCACCTGAGGGAGAGCACGGGGCACTATGAACGCAACAGCTCCTTTGACGGCCGCGGGAAGTCACCGCGCAGCGCGCGGAGCGAAGAAACCCAGGGTACCCTGACGAAGAGTAGATGGCTTCTTGATGCGCGCCCCCACTGTAGGTTCTAGGTCACCGAACGTCGCACATCGCGCCCCGCGATGCGCGGTTATCTTCGCGCCCTCGCGCCGCCGCCCTGGAGAACGGCGCTTCTCCAGCCCAGGCAGCGATTCGCGAGGCGCGATTCTCTTCGCGCCCCGGCGGGTGACCTGTGGGTACAGGTCGGCCAGGGTCAGAAGGATGCGCGAGGAGGATACAAGGGCCTTGAACGCCCAGTTGAAAGCTTCTCGAGCGGGGCGCGGCCAACGACAGTGGCGAAGGATGGACCGAGGAAGCAAGGATGCAAGGGTACTGGGGGGGCGGGAGGAGGGGGAGGAGGAGCGGGAGGAGGGGAAGGCGGTGGCAGGAGGGGAGGGAGAGCGGCGCGGGGGAGGTGAGGGAGGACGGCGAGGTAGGGTAAGGCAAGGCAACCGCCTCGAGCCGGTCTGAAGGGGCGGACGGGGAGGAGGAGGAGGAGGAGGAGGAGGAGGAGGAGGAGGAGGAGGAGGAGGAGGAGGAGGAGGAGGGAGGAGGAGGGAGGAGGGAGGAGGGAGGAGGGGGAGGAGGGAGGGAGGGAGGAGAGGGGAGGAGGGAGGAAGGAGGGAGGGAAGGAGGAGGGAGAGGAGAGGAGGAGGAGGAGGAGGAGGAGGAGGAGGAGGAGGAGGAGGAGGAGGAGGAGCCCATCCTTGCTATGCGGGTTGACGGCATCGGCACACTGCTGCCCGCCCGAGTCCTGCAGTTGCACTGGTGCGCGATGTACTGCGCGCCGCTCTGCAGCACGTCCGCCGTGACCATGCGCAGCGGCATGGCTACCGCGGCATGCTGCTGTGTTAGAGGGAAGACAAGTATGCGTGTACCGACCCTGGACTGGGACGGGTGAATCCTAGGCTTAGGTTGGGAATGTCCTGCTGCAGGCGGATTTTGGAAGAAGCACACAAGATGGTGAGACATCATGTAAGTCGATCGAAAGAGGACGAAACAACGTCACCAGGCTGTTTGCTACTATTCTTGACTAGTCCTTCTGTAGAGAGGCACAGGATCGGTGCATACGCCCTCCTGGCTCGGCCAGGGAGGCCCATGCAGCGGTCCTGGGCCCAGAATGGGCCTGGCCCAGATCGGTGCACGCGCACAGCTCTTATCACCCTTTGACCTCAGACCAAGATCGGCCAAGATCGGTGCACGCGTGGTCCTAATTGACCGGGACGAGCGGAAAACCAAGGGGGCCCGCACGGACTTACAGGAGGCAGTATGGCCAAGATCGGTGCGCAGCCTGGCCAGGATCGGTGCACGCGCACAGACCTATGACCTCAGACTTTGAGCCGTGACTGCTGCGTGTGGGGTCACGAGTCCTGATCGGGAGCGCTGCAGCAAGATCAGCAGGGAAAAGCTGCGCGACGGCGCCTTGCAACGGACACCGAAGGGACAACCAGCAGCTCTGCACAGGGTGATGATACAAGCTACGAGAAGGACTACCTGCACGCTTTTTTCTAAAAAGACGCTTTCCTCGGGACAGCGGGCGAAAATGCGCAGGCGTACAACACAATTCGTCTGACCCATGACGCACAGAGTGCTCGCAACTACAAACACACTTGCGGCGATAATTCGTGCACGAGTGCTGTTTTTTGTATGCGATGTGTGCGCACAGCAAAAACTACAACTATCGCACGCGTATCGCGCGCGCGCTCAAGTTCTAGCTATCTTGGATACCTGGAGATGAACGAGTCCCATGATACGCCAGAACCAGATGTTCCCAATGGCACATTCTGACAATATTCGGGTCGTTGTTGACACCATGTGGCCTCTCCCAACGTGGAGCTACTCCGGCCGAGAAGTTGGACACACCAGAATCCGACACAACAATATCATGATTGCCTCGGGGCGTGGGGTGGTTGAAACGACGTATTACACGATGCTCCTCTTGGAGCACACCTGTGAACTGTTGGAGCGGAGGAAGCGAAGAGGAAGGTGAAGGAGGGAGGGGATGTAAGAGGAGTCGTATGAAGGAGCAGGAGGGATGTGCACGCGGAGAGAAGGGAAGAAACTTTGACGAGGGAGGGGCGAGGGCGAGAAGGGTGCTGACCAGCAGGGTAAGGAGTCTCGAAACGCCTGCGGCAAGCCCCCGTCGCCCCCTGTATGGACAGGGGCCTACGCCGTGGCCAACTGTTGTCGAAACGCAGCGCTTTTGCGGCCGAAGCCTGTTGCAGCACTCACTCGACGGTGGTTGAATTCTAAGGGCCTTCTTGGGGGAATATTCGGAGGGCCCTCTTGCTGGGGTTGTCTGGGGACGCCTGGGGACCCCCCTGGGCAATCTTGGAGCCACCTTCGGCTGTCCTGGGGCCTCGCGGGGATCTCTTGTGGCCGTCCAGACGCCTTTGTTGGTGCCCTCTTGCAACGTCCTGGTGCTCTGTTGGGCCCCTTGGGCCCCTTGGGGCCCCAACTGGGGCCAGCTGGGGGAGCCCGCGGGGTTCGTCGGAACTGTCTTGAGGGATCTTGGAGGTTTTTTGGTGCGTATGCAACGGTTGTTTGACCAAACCAGCCAAATAAAACAACATCAACGCACATAACAACAGTTTATACATAGGTGTATCCATATACATATACATGTCGGCAATACATGTAGATTGTGCATGTGAAATATCCACATGTGTGCATTAGCCAGCGTGGATCCCAAACAATGTTATGCAGCGCAGTCGACGTGGCGCAATCTATGTGGTGCTGTTAATGCGCGTGTGTCCGCAGTGAGTTGTCAACTCCACTGTTCGCGCAATCAACCCACCCACCCACCCGCAACTTGGTTAACATAAGCCTATGCGGCGGAGATTGCGATTGCGATGAATGCTTGGTGTTGGCTGGTGCATCTCCCCCGCGCATGCTCGCGCGCGCAGTGGCCAGCTAGTTTGGACCTCCACAACCACCACCACAACCACCACAAACCACCATCACCACAACAACAACAGCAACAACAACAACCATCACCACAAAACACCTCACCACCACCACCGCCAAAAACGCCACCACCACCAGCACCACTACAACCCACCACAACACCACAACCACCACCACCACCAAACCACCAAACCATTACCACCACCATCACCACCACCGCCACAACCACCACCATCACCACAACCCACCACCAACACCACCACCACAAACCACCACACCACCACCACAAACACACCACCACCACCACCACCACCACCCACCACCCACCACCCACCACCACCACCACCACCACTCTACCAGCAGCAGCACCACCACCACCAACACCACAGCCCACCACCACCACCACGAACCACCACGCCACCACCACCACCGCCACCACCACGACCACCACCATCACCACCTCAACCCACCACCACCACCACCAACCACCACACAACCACCACCACCACCACCACCACCACCACAGCCACCACCACACCACAACAGCCACCACCACCACCACCACCAATACAACAACCCACCACCACTACCACTACCATCACCACAACCTACCACACCACCACCACCGCCACAACCACCACCGCGACTACCAGCAGCACAACACGCCACCACCACCACCGCCACAACCTCCACAAACCAGCTCACCACCACCACCACCACCACCGCCACTACCACCACCACCACCAGCACCCCTGCCGCCGCCAGCCGCCGCCGACGCCGGCGCCGCCAGCCCGACGGGAGGGAGAGAGAAGTAGGGGGGGGGTTCGAACCCCCCCCTCCATCCAGGGGGGGGGGTCCGGTTCCCCCCCCGCCTCCAAGCGACCACAGAACGCGCTATTTCCATATCTCTCTCTATATATATGTGTGTATGTGTATATCTATATGTGTATATATATATATATGTGTATATACATATATACATATATGCGTGTAGCTATAATTATAGATGTGTGTATATGTATCTGTATATGTGTATGCACATGTCTATGTGTGCATGTAGATATCGCACGCAAAAGATGCCACCTCTTCTGAATCAGCTTCTTCTGGTTAGACGCATGTCCTACTCAATTCGGTGAATTTCAAATCACTGTATCCGATTCGCTTCGATTCGCCTGGCTAGACAGGCTCGGCTGAGGGGGGAGACGGGGTATTTATTTGGATTGGGGGGTATAGAGGCGCACGCGATTCTGCTTCATCCTACCAACTTAGGGGCAAATGAACACAATACTACGCCCATTGGGCGCCACCCAGGGCAAGGCAAGGGCTCCTGGGACGACGGGGAGGGAGAAAAAGTGAAGGGATCTGAAGGTGAATCTGCACAATACGCGCTGGGCTTGTGAGGCGCAACTTGATCACTCATCCTCATCTTCGCCCGCCTCATTTTACCCCTTCGTCCTCCTCCTCCTCTTCCTCCTCCTCCTCCTCCTACTCCTCCTCCTCCTCCTCCTCCTCCTCCTCCTCCTCCCCCTCCTCCTCCTCCTCCTCCACCTCCTCCTCCTCCTCCTCCTCCTCCACCCCCTCCTCGAGTGCGTATGAGCCCTCCCATTCCCTCTCGCCGCTCTCGACGCGCGCGTTCGGTCGTGCAGGTGTGTTCCCATCCTTCCCCTCTTTCCCTCCCCTCCCTTCCCCTCTCCCCTCCCCTCGCCCCGCCCTTCTTCCCTCCCCTCTCCGCTCCCCTCTCCCCTCCCCTCTCCCCTCCACTCTCCCCCCCCTCTCCCAGCGGGGGGGGGACAAGCCAGGTGCAATCGCGCCATATCTGACATCCTTCCCGTACCATTGCGTTGACTTTTCCTTGTCCGCCGACAGGTGTCATGGC